GGCCTCCAACCTAAGAGCGATGGCCTCCAACCTAAGAGCGATGGCCTGGCCTCCAACCTGCTGCAACATTTGAGAACCCGAAGAGCCGAAGAAGGAGTCCACCATCCTGCGTTGTCGAGCCAAGGAGGAGTGACACCACCAGCAGGTTTGTGGATCCTGAGTGCAGAGAATTTCTACTATGGTGCCTTCTACATGCTGTCACAGCTCAACCTGAATTTGGAAGGGCAAGGCGCTCGATGTGCGTGACGCGTTAGCTGCTTGCACTAGCTTGAGCAGCAGACCGGTTTTTGTTTTCAATGAGATTTCTGCGGATGTGTCATGTCTTTGCAGGTCTTCCCACAGGTACGAACTGCTGGATGTGGGAATTGGATCCAGTGGAGGGCACTGCGGGTTGGGAGCCTGGCAAGCCTTTGCCTGGTAACCTCAACATGGCCTACAGCACAGAGACTCTTGGACACCACAGAGTGATAGAGAGTGTAGGTGGACATGTTTAGTTTCTCAACGGAGTTTCATGTGCGGCACTCACCCTCCCTCAGGAATGCCCAAGCAAGTGGTTGCATGCCCATTTCGTACACTTCAAGACAAGCAAACGGTATGCGCTCCGAATTCAAGTTTCCCGAAGCCTTCCGGAGCTCATGTGCAAGCAAGCCTGATCAGCCAGGCTGCAGGCCATGGCGAGAAACCATCCACTGGGGTGGAGGCCGGGAAGGCACCCAAAGATTTGAAAACCTTTGGGATGAGCCCTACGTCTTCGCGGTGGTTGTAGATGCCCAGGGTTACTGGATCTACCGCTGGCGGCCGACTGCATACGCTGGTGCTCCTGACCCCAGTGGAGTAAAGACTGGCTGGACTGGAGTGGAGCGTTTCAAAGCGCTGCGAAAGCTGCCCGCGCGACCCTCCCCCGTGCGAGACGTTCGAGGCTTACGGACGGATGTGCCTGGACACGTGGCCGAGGCAGTGGTTTTGCAACCGAGCCTTTCAACTGAGGCGACCTGCTTGAGATCCTCCGTGGAGGAGGTCACCTGGCAATGGGGTACCGATGCTCTAGCTGCAATGGCTCAACAACTTGGGGAAGCTGGTCCCGGTTCCAGATTTGAAGGAACTCAGAATTGGTGGTCCAGTTTCACGGACACTTTGCAGTATGCCAACTATCCTGCTTCGATCATGGGACTAGAGGCTCGCAACATGACGGAAGCTTTGAATTGCAATACGGGCAAGACTTTTACTTGCTCTTGTGCAGCAAGTGAAGAGCAAACATTCTCCGCGCCCGATGTCTACGTGTAGACAAGAATGGTGCTTGGCCATTCCAAAAGCTCTGGCGCGCAGAGAGTGCAAAATGTGATCAGCCGAAACTAACACTTACAGGTGATCGCTCGCTAACCTTGTGAACCTGACTCAAGGTGAGCCCAAAACTTCTTCTCTTGGCACGTGATGGATCCACCCTAGATCCAGAGATCGTAGGGAAGTTTGGACGAAAGTGCTTGGAGGGCAGGGATGACTTGCGAATTTAGATAGTAGATC